ACTCCTTGCCCTTCTCACCTCCTCACTCCCCCCCCTTCAAACCTCCTCAGCCTCCCCACTCCCCACCTGCCTCCGTCAGTAGCCTCCTAACCCTCTTCACCTCCCCACCCTCCTCAGATCCTCGCCTCTTCACTTCCTCTCCTGCTCAGTCTTCACCTCACCTCCTCACCCCTCTCTCCCCTCTCCCCTCCTCATTTCCGGCACCTCCACTGGCCAGGACGGAGCCCCTGCTGGGTTTGCCGTCCCCAGAACAAGTCTTGTTGTGCTTTGGGCAGTAATTGAAGCCAGACTTTGGGACTAAGATTTAGCCTAGAATGTTTCCCCTGTTGAACTAGTGCTGCGGTATTAGGTAAGGTTTGAGATTGCCCAGTACCGTCACAGTTAAGACACGATATTCACTGTTTACGTATTTGAGAGACACTTCAGGTTGCTGAAAACGACTTTTCCTCGGAGCCTCCTCCGTGGTGCCAGCTGGCGCCAGCGCGGAGTGTAGAGGGCGGAGAGGGCCTTGCTGGCTGCCCTGGGAGCAGAGGATAGATCCGGGAGGGCAGTTTCCATCCTGAGGAAGCGTTAGGTCGCCTAGGGCAGGGTTTTTGTTCCACATTTATTCTTGCCACGTTTGGTTTGCTGGAGGCCATCGCTGCCTCTGGGGGGGGGGACTGCTGCCCCTCCCCTCCCAGCATCCTCTGTCCCGTCTCTGGCGGGAGGAAGGTGGGGAAGGGCAAGCTCCAGCCGCCTCTGCTCCGGCTCCCGGAGCACAGGTTTCCAGCAGTGGCCCCGTGTGTGCGTGAGGGCTGACCGTGGCCCATGCCACCTTCCTGGCCGTCTGCTGAGCACAGACGCACATGAGGGTGGCCAGGGCCGCCATGGGTGTGGGCGGGCGGGCCTCACTCTTCTGACCTTCTTGCTCTCTGTCCCTCGGCCAGGGCCCTGGACTTCGGGTACCTGACCCAGGACATGATTGACGACTATGAACCAGCCCTCATGTTCACCATCCCCAGGTTGGCCATCGTGTGGTGAGTGCTCCCCCCGCCCGGGGCCTCCTCCGGCAGAAGCCAGGCAGGACTGAGGAGTGACAGGCACCGGCCCGTTCTGGCACTTACAGCCCCAGCCGGTGGCGCAGTACCATGCAGACCTGCTGGCGCCCCTCACCAGGTGTCCTGAGGGTGAGGGAGGCTCTCCCCAGCACCCCGCTGGACAGGTGGCATGGACAGTCACCAGACACACAGCCCAGGGGAGGAGCACCCCGCGTAGTGCGTAGAGCCATGCGGGGTGCACGCCGGAGCAGAGAGCCCAGCTCGGGCTGTGAGGGGAGGAGAGGGTGGGATGCCCCCACTCCAGGGAGGAGGTAACGGGGTTACCTGGTGGGTAGGTGAAATGAAAGCTGTCAGGTGAAGAAGAGCAGGTGGGGAGCAGCTGGTCTTGGGGGGCGGGAGGGGATGTGCCTGGGTGGAGCCTTTCCTGTGGTGAGGGGTGGGGGGTATGAGTGGTGAGAGCAGGGAGCTCAGGCTTAGTCTTCTGGGGTCTTGTGGGCTGAGATGCCAGGCAGCGCATGGGGTTAGGCCCTAAGTAGCCAAGGCAGGAAGTGCCCCGTCACCTCATGGGTGCTCAGAGCATCTCCCAGCCAATGTCAGAGCCCAGGTGTTGTGGGCTTGGTCCACTGCTGCTCAGCCACACCTGACTCCCAGCCGGACTGCCCTTCCCTCCTGCCAGGTGAGGCTCCTGGGGCCGGAAGTCACAGGGCAGTCAGGGCAGTCATAGGGCGGAGGGAGCGGGTCATGGGGGGGGGTGCAGGGAGCGGGCCACGGGGGTGCAGGGAGCAGGTCACAGGGGCGGAGGGAGCGGGTCACGGGGTGCGCACGGCTGGGTCCCTGTTAGGAAGAGCAGAAAACAGGGCTCAGGGAATAGGGGACAGCCTGCTTGTTGTGGGGCTCAGTCCTGCTTCNCATAGGGCGGAGGGAGCGGGTCATGGGGGGGGGTGCAGGGAGCGGGCCACGGGGGTGCAGGGAGCAGGTCACAGGGGCGGAGGGAGCGGGTCACGGTGGGGGGGGGTGCAGGGAGCGGGCCACGGGGGTGCAGGGAGCGGGTCACAGGGGCGGAGGGAGTGGGCCACGGGGCCTCTGTGGGACTGGCGGTGAGGGGGGGCCCAGTGGCAGCCGGTGTGCAGGTGCGGAGCTGGGCAGAGAGGACAGGAGTCCTCGGGACACAGGCTGATTGCGGACGTGATCGTCAGTGAAAGCCGCCCCGGGAGAGTGTGGGGTGATGCGGAGGCCAGGGCTGGTCCCCGCCCAGGATCCCATCCTTGGGAAGTGGGGGGGCGGTGGGGGGAGCAGCGGGGGACAGTGGCTGTACTGCAGGATGGGGCCAGGTTCTGGGCCAGGGGGCCTTCCCTCAACCACGGGGCGGGACTCGTGCTGAAGTGTGGGAGCCGCGGGCAGATCCCGCCCTGGGCTGGGCCACTAGCACTTCCTGCTGCCCTGCAGCCCGGAGAGGAGCAGACGCCCGGCTGAGGAAGGGCTGGAGACAGGCCAGGGCCAGGGGCTGCAGTCCCCAGGACCCCAGGGGAGCCTGAGCAGCGCCCTCTGGATGCCCTGCTTCCCTGGCGGTGGAGGGGGTGGGGGAAGGGGGCGGCCGCCCGGCCTCCTCCGTGTCCCTGGCCTGGCTGTGTCCTCAGAGCCTGCTCTCCTGGGGTCTCAGTTTGCCAGAATCCCGGGCGTGGCATCTCTGTCCGCTGTCCTTGTCCCTGAAAGAGCGTCCCCATCAGGGAAAGCAGGCATGGGTCCATCAGGCCAGACGGGCCACTCTTCACAGCCGCCTTAATTGCTGGACTCCGAGACTCTCCCTTCCCCCGAAGCTGGAGGAGCAGAGGACAGACTCCCCGGTGGGCCAGCTCGCCTGGTCTGGCCTGACGTGGCCTGGAGCGTCTCCTCGGACGGGGCCACGCGATTTTGTTATGTCATTTGCTTTCTAGGCAATGGTTCTCTGTGGCCAAACTCAGGTAGAAGAAAACGCTGCTTCGAGCGGGGCCTGACGTTTATGGGGCCGGGCCGGGGTTTGCAGCCCTTTCTCTGCGGTCCATACGCCATTTTACCGAAAGTGCCGGGCCCCTGGTCTGGCCCTGATCTTTCCTAAATTCCCTGGTGGCTGCCTGGAAGGTCAGGATCCGGTGCCCCCGCCACGGATGGCCCTGCTCTGACGAGCCGCCCCGCGGCGAGGAGCCCCCGCAGCACCCCGGGGGCCAGGCAGCACCCTGCGTCTCAGGACAGGGTCTCAGGACAGGGCCGTCTTGCCTATTCTAAGCCTCATGGGGGCACCCAGTCTCTCTCACGCGGTTTTAAAATAAAAACTGGTTTAGAATAAGGTGAGGCCTCAGACGGCTTGAGCTCATGGCTTCCGGGTTCTGACCCTGAAGCCTCCCGAGCGGGTCTGTTCAGCCCTTTACCAGCGTACCTGTCACTGTTGGCCCAGGCGTGGTGACCGCAAGACGATGGTCTCAGGCCTTTCTGTTGTCACTGAGCAGTTGCCCGCAGCCACCTCTCCCCGACTGCATCGCTGCACCCTGTGTGCGCACGCGGCTGCCCTGCACACATCTGAGCTTCTGTCCTTTCTCTGTCCCTTGTCCTGGGAGGGGGTGAGGGCCCCGTGGGCCAGGCTAGCAGCACCAGGTGGGGTTCCCTGGGAAGCCCCCGGACATGAAGGGAGGCTCCGAGTCACGGCAGAGGGAGGCGGGTTTGCAGTTGGGTTGAAGGGAGGGCAGGTATGGACCAGGCTGGCCGGAAGTGGGAGCAGATGCAGGGGCCCCAGGCCCAGAGGTGCCCGGCCTGGACGGCCACCCCAGGTCCACCTCACAACCTCGCCAGCCCTCCGGCAGAGGCAGGGACTGGTCTCAGAGCCAGGCTCTCTGGGGCTCTGACGTATGTCAGGCCGTGACTGAAATCCTCCGTCCTTCCTGGAGGACGCCGTTCCCAGAGCCAACCCCTTCAGGGCCATCTACCGGGTGCCTGATGTTCCCTCTCTCCTTCCTCACTCTCCTTGGTGGCCGCTCTGGGCCAGACGGGCGGCTTCACTGCTAAACAGGGTGGGGCCCAGGCCTTGCTCTGTTCTGTATTTGTCCAGTGAGTACATGTGGAGCACCTGCTGTATACCTAGCCCTGTGCTTGTCCCCAGGGATACTATGATGCCCCTGGGTAGGCGAAACAAGCAGTTGCTGTGGAGTGTTCTGGATGCGGGGGTGGGGTAGGGGGCTTGGAGCAGAGACCCTCTGGGTGAACAAGAGCTGGCAGCATGGGGGAGAGGCTCCCTGGGTCCTGGAGCAGAGCTCCCGGAGTGGAGTTGGGAGCCTGGCAGGCAGTGGACTGCGGGCGGGCAGCATGTGCAAAGGGCCAGAGGCAGGTCCTCCAGGTGAGGGAGAAGGGTATCCCGTAGACACTTGTGTGACAGTAAAGTCGACACTCCTGGAACAGCAGCCTTCTAGGGTCACGTCTGTGATGTGGCTGGTGGGACCCCTGGGAACAGAAGGGGCCTGGGGGGCCTCTCTGCCACTCTGTCCCCTCGCCCTGACTCCAGCCCCTTCCCGCCAGGTCGAGAAGCGGCGCTGCTCTGAGCTCTCCCACGAGCAACACTCCCTCTGAGGTGGGCTGGCTGGCCCCTCACAGGTCAGGGGCGCACCCCGAGCCAGCCTGGCCCCCTGGCTTGACCGCTGGGCTCTGTAGCCCTGGGGGGTGCCTGAGGCAGAGGCAGTAAACTGAGGTCGGAGAGGGGGCTGTGTGGGGGCCTGGAGGTTCAGGAGGAGGCCAGTCCGGCCGGGTACAGGGTGTCCACGGCCCGCTGGGGTACCAGCCCTAGACCCCGGGCCCAGCCTCCCCCATTTCCCGGTCCTCCCTCACTCGGCCACATGTCCTGGGGAAGTGAGTTTCCACGCGGTCCCGGCCGTGGCGGACTAGTTTCAGTTCGACCGGCGGCCGTACACCAGCTGGTTTACACTAACGGTCTCCAGGTGCCGTGCGCACCTGCCTGGCCCCGTCGGGTGGACCCTCGCTTCACCTTCCCGTCTGGGCTGCTGGGCTGCTGGGCCTCGACTCCGGTCTCTACGGCTGCCCCCACCCTGAGTGGGCCCCCCTCCCGAAGCTGCACCCCAGGCTGAACTGCGCGGAAGCGGGACCCCAGGCCCTGCTCCCGCTCCAGCCCGGCAACCCACTCCCCACCCTGCCTCCCCCTCCCCAGAGGGGTCGGCTCCATCCCGCCCTCCCCTCCCCGCCCTCCCCTCTCCCCTTCCCCTCCTCGCCCTCCCCTCTATCTCTTCCCTCTTCACCCTCTCCTCCCCTCTATCCCTCTCTCTCCCCTCTCCCCTCCCCCTTCCCCTTCCTCTGCTCCCCTCCCCCCCCAGCTATAGGCAGCCCCATCCCTTCCCCTCTCTCATTTTCTACCCCTCCCACCCACGTTCCATCCTGTGGTTCTACCACCAGAATTTTCCAGAAGCCCCTGCCCCAGCTGGGGGCTCTGGCCTCCCTTCCTTTGGTCCCTTTGCCTCCCTGCTTTCCCACTAGTGACAGCCCCCTGCCCAGCCCCTTCCCAGTCTCCACACCACCTGCCTCGCCTGCAGCCCTTCCTCCTACAGGTGCCACCACCTCCAGGAAGGTCACATGATTACTCTAACGTATTTTTAAAATATGTTACTTAGATATAATGCACATACCACACAGTTCACCCACTTAAAGTGTACAATTCGATGGTTTTCAGTAAATTTACAGAATTGGGCAACTGTCATCATTAATTTCAGAACATATTGATCACCCCAAAAAGATACCCCTTACCCCTTAGCTGTCCCTTCCACCCCCTACAACCCTCCCCTCCAGTCCCAGGAAACCACAGACCTGCCCATCTGGGGGATCTCATGTCAGTGGGGCCCGAGTGCTTTTCGTGCCTCCCCACGAGCCTGGCAGCTCTCCAGTGAGGAATGCTCACTGCCTTTATTCACTCAGAGCCCCTTAGCGCCTGACGTGTGGCAGCAGAGCTTATGTGGAATTTTGTCGCATTGACCTGACAGGGCACAATATGTGTTTACAAAGATTTTTACTGAACTTTATTTTTGCTCAGGAAAATTTGAGGGCGTAGATATGTAGAATTAAGTGAGTGTTTAAAAACTATACTCCAGCCATTTAGGTAACATTGGGGAAAAATCCAAAAAGCCATGGAAAAACATCCCCAGTGTGTGTGGACAAAAATTGTGCCAAATAGTATGTCTCTACTTAGCAAGATAGGTATAACTTTTGTAAACAGAAATTAATGCAATAGATGTTAATTTTTTTACTGTGGTAAAATATACATAATGTAAAATTTACCACTTTAACCATTTATTTTAATGTTTATTTATTTTAAGAGAGAGAGCAAGTGAGAGAGAGAGCACATGCACACATGCACAAGCTGGGGAGGGGCAGAGAGAGAGAGAGAATCCCAAGCAGGCTTCCGCATTGTCAGCACAGAGCCGGACGTGGGGCTCAAGCCCCCAAACTGTGAGATCCTGACCTCAGCCAAAGTCAAGAATCAGATGCTTAACCGACTGAGCCCCCAGGGACCTCCCCACTCTAACACTCAGTGGCACTAAGTATGTTCACATTGTCATACCGTCATCACCTCCATCTCCAGAACTTTCCCATCTTCCTCAACTGAAACACTGTTTCCATTAAACACTAGCTCCCCAGCCACACCCCAGCCCCTGGTCACCTCTACCCTACTTTCTTTCTCTGTGAATTTGACTGTTCTAAGGACTTCATATCAGTGGAATCATGCGATATTTTCCTTTTGTGTCTGGCTTATTTCTCTTAACATAATGTTTTCATGGTTCATCCATGTGGCAAGTAGGAACTTCAAGCCTTTTTAAGACTAAATAATATTTCATTGTATGTAATTAAATAGTATTTTAAAGAAGAGATGTCCAGGTGTCCAGTACCAAGGAATAAATTTAACCAAGGAAGTGGAAAACATGTACATTGAAAACTACAAAACATTTGTGAAAAAAATTAAAGATGTAATTAAATGAAAAGATAGCCCATGTTCATGGATTGAGTACTTCCTATAGTTAAGAGTATGGCAGTACTCTCCGAAGCTATATATAGATTCAATACATTTCCTATAAAGACTATATATATTGGCTTTTGTTTTTTGGTGGAAATAGAAAAGAACCTCAAATTCATATGGAATCACAGTGGGTCTTGAATAGTCCAAGCAGTACTGAAAAAGAAAAACAAGGTCAAAGAGCTCATATGTCTTGACTTCAGAACTTACTACAAAGTTATGTTAATTGAAAGTGTGGTACTGTCATAAGGCTAGACCAATGGAATACAATCAAGACAACAGAATAACCCAAATATCTATAGCCAATTGCTTTTTGACAAAGGTGCCAAGACCATTCAGTGAGGAAGGAACACTTAGTCTCTTCAACAAATGACGCTGGGACAACTGGATAGCCACACACAGAAGAGCAAAGTTGGACCCTGTGATGATTAACTTTATGTGTCAACTTGCCGAGGCCACAGTAACTAGGTATTTGGTCAAATACCAGTTTGGATGTTGCTAGAAGGTATTTTAAAGATGAGATTAACAAATCAGTGGATCTAGAGTAATGTAGTTTACCTTCATAATGTGGGTGGGCCTCATCCAATCAGTTGAGGGCCATAAGAGAAAACAGACCAAGTTCCCCAAGTAAGAGGGAATTCTACCTCAGACCATGTTCAAAATCAAACTTCAGCATCAAGTCTTCCCTGAGTCTCTAGGTCTCTAGCCTGCCTGCCCAATCCACAGATTTTGGACGTGGCCACCATCCACAATTGTGTGAACCAGTTACTTAAAATAATTCTCTCCAAAAAAAAAAAAAAAAAAAAGCCCGCCACCAAATTCTCCCTCCGTGTACACACACACACACACACACACACACACACACACCCTACTGGGTCTGTTTCTCTGGAGAACTCTAATACGGGAGATAAATCTTCACATTTCCTGATTTGGTGATGGATTCTTAGATTTGACACAAAAAGCAGAAGTGACCAATGAAAAGAGTAGTAAGTTGATCTCCCTCAAAGTTAAAGCCTTTTGTGCACCAGAGGACGTTATGAAGACAGGGAAAGGTGGCCTGAAGAATGGCGTGGAGCCCAGTGGTCCTCTTACGCTGGGTGTCCTCCCCGTGCTCACCTGGGCCAGCCCCCGGCGAGTGCTCAGGCCCCTCCCCTCCGCCTCTGCCAGGCTCAGCTGTGGGGGCTGCCCTGCCCCTCGGCGGCTGGCGCACGAGCACGGGCCTGCGTGGGCGGTGATGGCACAGCACCCGGAACCTCCTAAGTAACACGCATGTTTCTGAGGCTCCAGACCAGGCACAGTCAGCGCCGGGGAACGGTTCCTATGGCACTGATGGGGCAGCCAGGGTCCTCGCCCGAACCCCGGAGGGGTGTCAGAGTCCCTCCCCGCCCCCTTCCCTGCTTTCTGAAAGACAAGACGGCCAGGAAGCCTGGACAGGGATTCACCAAACCCCCCCTTCTGCCCCTTTCCACTGCCTTTGTGCTGAGACCACCTAGCACATGTGGGGACCATGTCCCCTGAACAGTGTCAGCTCATGTAAGACCCATAGAATAGAACGGAAGGAAAGGAAGCCTGGCCGGGGCTCCTCTGCTGTCTGCCCTCCTGGCAGCCCTGACCCTCCTGCTGCCCTGGGAAGCACAGCTTGTGTTTTCCTGCGGCTTTTGGATCTTTCTTTTCAAGGGAAAAATAGTCCACTAAGTTTTATCAGTCTTTTCAAGGGAAAAATAGTCCACTAAGTTTTATCAGTCTTTCTCACCGAATTGGCCCCATTCCTGAGCTAATGAGGACTCTGTTGGGTGGTGATGACCTGGCCCCATGCAGCGATGAGATTCTGTTCATTTGCAGAGACAGGCCGACAGTTGTCTGTCTGTGCAGACAGATCCACCAGACCCGCACCTGTGTGTGACGAGGAAGCAAGGGGCAGCCGCTGGGGCTGTGGGCGCTTGTTCCCTGGCACCTCCGTGTGCCAAGGCCTGAGCTGGCTGGGCCCGGGAGCCCCAAGAAGAGGCACCGAGAGGAGGGTCCTCCGGACATGGGTCTGCTGTTGGACGAGGGCGACGGGCATGCTCGGAGCCGGGCAGGACAGCGCAGCGTCTGGCAAGATAGATGCGGTGCCGCCTGTGGAAAGGGGGCCGCCTGGAGGGGCATCTGAGCAGAGTCAGATGGCGAACGGGCCACTGATGGGGGGAGAGGGTCCGCCTGCCTGGGGGTGACGGGGGGCTGTCTCTGGTCTTGATGGGCGACGGCGTGAACCAGACCTCAGAGGGAAAGGTGGGCTTGGGGACAGCCGGGGTGTAGCTGGGAGGAGCCATGAAGCGCACAGCTCACTGTGGGGGTGGGGGGCCCACAGGGTTCGGGACGGGCAGGGCAGATAGGGGCCGGGACTGGACTGTGACAACGGGTGTGGGTCTGGGAGGCTGGAGAGGCTGTGGTCAGTGAGTCAGGGCAGGCCCTGGACTCCGGAGTGGAGCCCAGATGGGGGACAGTGAGGTCAGAGTCTGGGAGTCCCGTGGGAGGCTGGGTGGGCAGCCTGGAGGCCACACTTGTGAGATGTCTCACCTCCTTTGTGCCAAGGGTTCCTGAGATGTGCATCCTGCCCCGTCTCCGGGCCCCTGAAGGGAGCCGGGCCCTGAGGCTCAGGGGTCTGCGTGCTCTGGCCCGGGGCCGTGGGCGAGTGGCAGACTGCCCTTTCCCCACGTGGGACCACAGTCTCTCTTCCAGCTTGTGCGTCACGTTCAGACTGGATGGTTTATCTGTGAGTCTCATAAGCCTCTGCATTTGTGTTAAATTTAAACACAAATCCAGTGTTTCCATTTTCAAGGAGGTAGTTTTAGTAATGCGTCTTGACGCTGATTTGTGTGATTGCAGCAGTGGTGGGAACAGATACGGTTTTATGATTATTTTATGATGCCTCGAATGAACATCAGCTAATCAACTTCAGAAGATGATAAAGTCTGAGCAATTTTCAGTGCTTTTTCCCAAACATATTTAAGAGTAAGTCTCCAGAGAGGCGTGTGTGGGCTCGGAGCCCCGGCTGTGGTCCAGGCTCACCCCACGCTGGCTTTTGTCTCCAACGCAGTGGCCTGGTGGTCTACGCGGACGGACCCCTGAACCTGGACCGCAAGGCAGAAGACATGTCTGAGCTGTTCCGGCCCTTCCACGCGCTGCTGCGGAAAATAAGGTGGGGGGGTGCTTCGGGAGGCTGGGAGGGGCAGCGGGGGAGGGGCCCAGGTTAGCCGGAGTGTCCTTTCCACGGGGGAGGGCGGGGCTGCTCCACTCAGATGCCCGGGAGCCTTGGTCTTTGTCTCAAGCTGTTGGTTCACGGTGTTTGGGGCCCCCTTGCCCCTTGCAGAACCCGCACCGTCCTCTCCCCACACAGCCGGGCTCTTTGTTCTCAGCCAGTAAGACTGGGGCCTTCAGTAGAAACCGCCCATAACGTGCCCGCGGCCGCCCTGGCTCAGGGCTCGGCGCTGGGCCCTGCGAGGTGAGCAGCCAGTGCCCCTCCCGTCCTGTGGCTTGTCCGGCCCCCCAGGCAACAGGCCCCGGTGGCATTGGTGTCCTCCGCCCCATGTGTACTGTCCTCTGGGCTCGGTGGCGCCTGGTGTGGGTGCCTGTTCTCTGCTCCAAGGGGCTCCCCTTAGCCTTCAGCAGCAACAGGCCTCAAACCAGCCCCCTCCGTCTTGGGTGGCCCCCCAAACCCATCCTGGGGTGGCCCCTCTGAGCTCAAGTGCCCAGCAGTGGCCTCCTTGAGGGATGGCTGTGGACACGTGTCCTCTGATCCCCTCGCTAGGGATCAGATCCCCTGTGGTCTTGGACTCTGAGGTCTTTCTTACTGAGGTCTCACGGCTCCAGTCCCTGGAAGCTCCCTTCCGTGCCTTTGGTGGAGCCGATGACCCCGTGGGCTCTGACAGCAGCCCTCCTGGGTCCGGAAGGACGGCTTAGCCCAGGACGGCCTGGGGCTGGCTTTCCTTTACTGGTGCCAGTTCTTGCAGACAGTGCTTCAAGCTGCCCTTTGCCCCTCGAGGAGCCAAAGTGCTGTGAATCCGGTTGGGGGAGGGTGACCCAGCAGGGTGGCCCTTGGAGAGCCATTGGCCCTTGGCGGGGAGGTGGTGAAGCTCAGCCTGGAACTGGGTGCTCGTGCTCGGTCCAGACTGGCTCACCTGATAGATGGCTGCTGCCGCCTCCCTTGTGCCCAGGCGCAGCCTTGAGCGTTCTGGACAGAATGTGACCCTGGACCTAGAGGCCGTGGCGCTGCCCTCCCTGGGTGTCTGACTGGGAGAGGAGACACAGAAGGAGGAGAGGTGATGGACAATGCCGAGGCCGGGAAAGGAAGCGCAGGGTGCTCAGAGAGGACTGGGGGCCTTGGGGGGAAGGGCCGGTGTGTGGAGATGGGGGAGGCGTTGGGTACGGGGCTGTCTGGAGCACCGGAAACATGTGCAGCATCCTCAGAATTCTAATGCACGCAGTTGGAATCAGAAGGAAGGAACAGGAGCACCTGGCTGGCTCCCTCAGGGGGCACGTGACTCTTGATCTCAGGGTTGGGAGTAAAGATTACTTAAAAAAAAATCTTTATTTATACATCGGGTATAAAGATTACTTAAAAAAATATGTAAAAAAAAAAGAAGGAAAGAATAGAGGAAATGAGCAGAAACAATATTCAAAGGAAAAAAATGGCCAAGAATTTTCCCAAACTGAAGAGAAATCTCAGCCCACACACTCAGGAGGCTCAAGAAATCTACAAGGAAGATAAGTACAAAACATACTTCGGTGTATCATAGTAAAATTGTTGAAAACAAAGAAAAAGTCTTAAACACAGCCAGAGAAAGGACATATTTCTTGGAAAATAATGTAAGATTGACAGCTGTCTCCTAAAAACCAAACAAACAACAGGAGCCTGAAGGTGATGAAATGACATGTATTAAAAGTGCTGAAAGAAACTAGCTCCCAGCCAGGATTTTATATCCAGCAGAAGTATCCTTCCACAGTAGAGGTGAAACGGGGAGTTACTCAAAACAGAGTCTTGCAGAAATGTATGGGCAGCCTGCCCGCAGAGAAGAGTTAATTGGAGTTCCTCAGGCAAAGGAGAACTCTCAGATGGCCGTGTGGAAATGCAAGAGATGGAAGAACTCCGTGTGAATTGATAAAAATCAGTGTGGATGTATGAGACAATCATTGTAATGTCGTATGGATTTCAAGCTATACATAGCATAACCAACATTTGAAAAATCAACATTTTGCTACATTAATTTTTAAAAGAGGATGAAAAGCAGAATCATTTTGAAAGTTACAGAATAAGAATTTGAAAAATTCAATACCTATTTTATTTCGAAAACATCTCTTAGCAAATGAGGAATAAATGGGGACTTCCTTAATCTGATAAGGGAGAGAGAGATGCGTACACATGCATAGGAAGTTGAATCCTTATGTGACACCATATACACAAATTAACTCTCAATGGATCCAGGACATAACTGCAAGACCTGAAGCAATAAAACTGTTAAAAGACCACACTGGACAAATGTCCTATCACGTGGCATTTGGAAATGATTTCTTAGATAGGACACCAAAGACATAAGCAACAAAGAAAAAATAGATTGGACTTGAAAAGTTTAAAATTTTGTGCATTGTAAGATACTCTCAACAGAATAAAAAGGTAACCCACAGGCTGGAGAAAATATTATCATATCTTGTATTTGATAAGGGATCAATACACAGAATATATAGAGAACTCCTAAAACCCACAGCAAAAACCAAACAGCTTAATTCAAAAGGGCAAGGGATTTAATTAGACATTTCTCCAAAGAAGATTTATGAATGGCCAACGAGCACATGAATAGATGCTCAGCATCATTCATTGTCAGAGACCTGCAAATCAAAACCACGACGAATACTACCCAGTATACTGGTTGCCCTCAAAACAAACAACAACAAAACAAAATAAACAACAACAACAACAAAATAATAACAAAACAAAAATGATGAGAATGTGGAAAAATTAGAACCCTGTGTGCTGTTGGTGGGAATATAAAATGGTACAGGTGCCGTGAAAAACAGTGTGGAGTTTCCTCGAAAAATGAAAAATAGAGTTATCCTATGATCCAGCAATTCCACATCTGGTATGCACCCAAAAGAATTGAAAGTAGTGTCTTGAAGACATATTTGTACACCTGTGTTCCAGAGGCATCATTCACAATAGCTAAGAAGTGGGAGCCACCTAGGTGTCCACTGATGGATGAGTGGATAAGCAAAATGTAGTTCATCCACACAATGGAATATCATTCAGCCTTCAAAAGGAAGGAAATCCTGAAATCTGCCAAAACACAGATGAACACAGAAATCATGCTTGCTGAAATAAGCCAGTCAAAAAAGAAAAATAAGCCGTGTATGATTCCAATTATATGAGGAACCTAGACTAGTCAGAATCATAGGAACGGAGAGTAGAATGGTTAGCGCCGGGGACCAGGGGAGGGGAGCCTGTGGTTAGGGTTTCAGGGGGGAGGAGTCTCAGTTTACAAGATGAGTGAGTTCTAGGGGTGGATGGCAGTGATGTTTGCACTCTGATGTGAATGTATTCAGTACCGTTGAATTGTCATGTCACTTAAAAATGGTTATGATGATAAATGTCACGTTATATGTATTTGATCACAATAAAAATTTAAATATTACCTACAATAACATCACTAAATATCAGCTAGTTAATCGTAAGACTGAAGTTGTCTAAGTCCTTCATCGAAAGTTAATGAAATGTTACTGCCATAAAACATTAAAGATGTAAATAGAGACTATTCTGTGTTCAAGAATGGAAAACTTAACACTGAGAAGATATCCCGTTATTCTCAAATGAATTCAGTGCAGTCTCGATCAAAATCTCTGGAGGTTTTTGTCTCTTCTTTTTTGGCAGAAATGGACAAACTAACTGTAAAATTCATGTAGAAATGCAGTGTACCTAGAGTAGCCAAAAAGAAGATGTCTGGAGAAAAAGAACATTATTCATCTCTTCTACCCCTGCTGGGCTTTGGGTTGTTTCCACAAGTAATGCTGGTGTGACCATGCTTGTGAACACGTGTGCATTTCTGCTGGCGTGCTTCGTGATAAAGGACAAGGCTGGAGCACTCCCTGGCACCGCGCCCTGGTGAAGCACGCGGAGGAGCGGCTTCTGAGCCCATCAACAGAATGGAGCCTAGAAACAGATGGACACACACAGGCCTCCTGGATTTATGACAAAGGAGACATTGCCAAACCGTGGGGAACGGTTGCTTTTTTCCATATGGGCTGAGTCAGCAGATGTCCACATGAGGGAAATCGTCTGGATCCTTAGCACAGCCATCTACTCCAGCACAGAATCAACTCCAGGTAGATGGGGGATGCACGCGTGGAAGGGATAGCAGTGAAGGTCGCAGAGGGAAAGAGGAGGAACATCCTTGGAGTGGGCAGATTTCTTAAACAGGACAGAAGAGCACTAAACATAAAGGAAAATGTGATTCATTGACTTTTACTGAAATTAAAAACTTTAGTTCATCAGAGGGTACCATTAAGAGTGAAAAGGAAAGTCCCAGAGCTGGAGAATATATTCGACAAAGAACTCAAATCCAAAACATGTAAAGAACCCCTGTCGATCAGTAAGAACGAGACAGCTAACCCAACTAAAACCGGGCAGAAGACCTGAAAGCATTCACAGAGGGCACATCTAAGGGCCGACGAGCACGGACGCCGGTGTGTGCTTCATTAGTCAGCAGGCTGAGCACTTTACAGTGAAAAATGCCAGGAGTGCCTGGTGGTGCCAGCAAGCAGGCCTGACAGTGGCATGGGGGCTGTCCAGGGTGCACCCCCCACTCCGTGTGCACCCGCAGGATGCGCGCCTGTTTCCCGGCCACGGCCCCGTGTGCACCCGCAGGATGCGCGCCTGTGTTCCCCAGAGAGGCTCTCCGAGAGGGCGAGTCGAGGCAGCCAGAGCCCGCCGGGAGTGGAAGAGCTTCCCAGGTGAAAGGCGGTGTCTCCAGCCGGGAAGCCTACATACCATGAGACCCGACCATCGACAACACCGAACCTCACCAAGTAGGGGTGTCAGATCCAGTGAGACAAAACCAGCAGAACCCTCAATGAATTTGAATTTCAGATAAACAGTGAACAAACAGTGCAAGAATGTCCCATATGCTCCCTATTTGAGACATACTTATCCGAAAAGATATTCATATGTTTAGGACGTATTTGTTGTTTATCTGAAATTCCAATTTAACTGGGCATCCTGCGCCTGTGCTGGTGGCCCTCCTCAAATACGATGCTGCTGAGGGAAGCCCGCCTCTCGGGAGCGGACGACGCAAACCCATTTACGTGGGGAGTGAAAACAGTCAAGGCCACGTCAGTCTTCAGAAGTCAGGGTGGTGGCGATGGCAAGGGGTGACTGGAAGGGCACATGGGGGCCTGCGAGCCTGTTTGTGTTCCGTCGTTCGTCCGGATGCTGCGTGGGCAGTGACACGGGGTCACAGCTGTGCGGTTCTGGGAAATACACTTTTCTGCGTGTTTCCGTGACAGACAGGAAGGTGTGTCCTGGGCTCAGACCTGCACTGGCAGAGAGCAAGGCGCATCCACATAGACCTGCCCTAGACTCACCCCAGCGCCACTACATTAACCCCCCTTCAGGTGTCTGGTTCAGTGCCCCTTCCACCAGGAAGCCTCCCTAGATTAAGCCTAGTGCCCTGCTGTCCCTTGTGCCAGTAGGCATTTTCCTTTGTTGTAGTTGTTAGTGTAAGTCAGCCATCACTCCCAGAAATCTGTCCCTTACCTGCCTCTTCCGGCGTAGCCCCAAGGGCAGAGACCTGCCTGGGCTCTTCCTGCGTCTCCCCGGGCCCACACAGAGACCACAGTCAAGAACATGTGGTGCGGGGCGCCTGGGGGCTCAGTCCGTTAAGCGTCCGACTTCGGCTCAGGTCGTGATCTCACAGTCCGTGGGTTCGAGCCCCGCGTCGGGCTCTGCGCTGACAGCTCAGAGCCTGGAGCTGCTTCGGATTCTGTGTCTCCCTCTCTCTCTGACCCTCCCCTGCTCACACTGCCTCTCTCTCTCAGAAATAAATAAAACATTAAAATAAATTAAAAAAAAATAACATGTGCTGAATGAAAGTCTATCTCCCAGAAGGTTTTCTTAATGCGATCATCGCATCCCCAAGAACCAGGGTCTTCTTGCTTTCAGTCTCACTTCTAGGAAGGAATCCGTCCCAGGCTCCACGCGGACAGCCCTTGTCCAGACCCGCGGCCCGGGGCGGCCCCCGCACGGCTGCGCCTCATCCGGTAGCGGGGCAGGTGTGCGCCACGCGCGTTTCATTGCAAGGCTTTGGCAGCTGCTTCTCTGCTGACGCGGGCATCGAGGATGCCGTGTCCGCTCTCGGCCGGGGGGCTGGTGTGGCCTTTGGGAGCCTCACCCGTGGTTCTTGTCTTGACCCGTGTAGGGATTTGCTGCAGACCCTGACGGAGGAGGAGCTTCACACGCTGGAACGGAACCTCTGCATTTCCCAGGACGCGGAGCTCCCTATCCGGGCAGACGCCCAGGTGCCCCCAGCCCTGGCGCCCACCTTCCCCTCACCCCTCCCCGCCGAGGAGATGCTCTCGGCCAAGGCCAGACGCCAGGAGGGGGAGCTGGCCTGCTCCATGCAGTATGATGACCAGGAGCTAGAGCAGCTCAACCGCATGGTGCACAGGGCCGGGGACGAGATGTCGTCCCTCCTCTCCCCGCCCAGCGCCTGCCCGTCCCCCGCACACAGGCCAGCGGCAGAGGGCAGCCCCCGAGGGGAGGCCTCCCCAGGCGGCGCACGGCTGCAGCCCGGCAACGACGAGGAGGAAGGGAGGGTGTTCTTCATGGATGACGTGGAGGGGGCCGCAGAGGCCCCGCGCAGCCCGGCTGGGTGGGCGGGCAGCGCCAGTGCTGACCCCCAGGAGAGAGGACGGGGCAGGGGACGCGGAGAGGCAGAGGTGGGCAGGCCCGCCGAGGCGGAGGAGGGGGACCTGAGCAATAACAACAACGTCCAGGACGACAAGATGTGGGCGGTGGGCCCCAACTCCTGCAGCTGCCTGGACTCGCAGCCGCACCTGGACGGCTGGGAGGCGGGTGTGGACGCGGCGGGCACGGCGGAGATGATCGCCCACCGGACGGGGGGCATGAAGCTCTCTGCCACCGTCATCTTCAATCCCAAGTCGACCCCGGCTGTGGGCGCGGCCGACACCGCCCCGGAAGCCTCTGGAGACGGCATCTCCCTGGCGGAGCCTGCGGCCGAGGGGACAGACGGTGGCTCCCACAAACTCAGTGCCGCGGCCACCAGCCGCCTCCTGAACTCCTGCGTGTGCTGCGGGGGCTGTGGGGGCGGCAGGGAGGACGCCGCTGCCCCGAGCCTGCCAGACAAGTGTGGCCCGGGAGGCGTCATCAGCGCCTCCTACGTCGGCTCGGCCAAGGCCAGCGCCAAGGGCCCTGCCGAGACACGGGAGGGGGCCCGGCCTGTGCCAGAGGCGCTGCCCACGGACGCCCCCTGCCCCCTGCCCTCAGAGGACGCCCCTACTTCCAACAAGTGCCTGACACACCCCTCAGGTCCTCGGGTGGACGCAGCAGACGGGTCACCTGGAGCGGGCGGTGCCGCCAGTCTGGAAAGGGAGCCTGAGGCTGGCCCGCGGGACGCCGGGCAGCCCTCGACGGCCAGGGTGGAAAGTCAGCCGGGAGAGGTGGCCCAGCAGGGGGCTCAGCGCCCGTCGGGCTCCAGGTAAGCGCCGTCTCTGGCCGCAGCTGGGTTCCTCCGTGCAGCAGCGGGTTCGCGGAGCCCTGCCTGGCTTCGCTCCGCCTTCTCAGGTGTGCCGGGGCAGGCGGGAGGTGGCCGGGGTCGGACGCCAATGTGGCAGGCAGTTAAGCAGCTTAGAGGGGCCGCCCGGCCTGGTGGGCCGCTGACCACCCTGTTCCTGACGTGGCAGGCACCGTCGGGTGATGTGGGCACAGGACCAAGCCCTCAGCCCACCCCCTTGCACCATCGTGGCCCCTCCTGGCCCTGGGGGATCCACTCTGGGGACAGCTGGGCAGTGGCCGCCTCTGCGCATGCTTTCCATCTCTCTGCTCACTATCGTGGCCTTGGGAGTGGAGCCCCCGGGGCCACGGTGGGATCCTGGGGACACTCTGGGCACATGCTCAGGCAGTGCCTCTAGGGCTCTGTTCCCCTCTCCCCTGCCGTCCCCAGGGGTCCCCCTGTGCTGTCCCCCAGAGGCAGGGGACCTGGAGAGGCGGGCCCCATGGGGGTCTGCGGGACCCTGACGCCTGCCTCTTTCGACTCCAGGCCGCTGTCCCTTCCCTCGCCCCCCACAGCCTGGAGTTACCGGAACAGATTCAGTGAGCATTGCCCCCGCGCCCGCCATGTGCCTGCTGCGTCCTCAGCATCAGGAGGGCTGGTGCCGGGTTCACACACGGCCCTTGTGTGGTCACCACCGTGGCCGGGGCCCTGCCTGCTTTGGGTGTGTCTGCCCGGCGGCGTCTGCAGCCCCTGCCATCCCGCCCCCAGCCCCCAGCGGCCGCTCATTTACTTCGTGTCTCCATGATGTGCCTCTTCTGGGCAGTTTAGATAAGCAGAATCGCACGACACGCGAGCCCGTCTCCTTCACTGAGCGCGATGCTTTCCAGGCCCGTCGATGTCGTAGCAAACGCAGCGCCGCCTTCCTTTCTGTGGCTGAGCAGCCGCATTCCGCCGTTGTTCCGTCGACGGGCGTGTGCGTGGGTGGTCTGCTGCCGTGGATGGTCCTGCTCTGCACAGTCACGAACACGCTTCGGTGCGGTCAGAGGTTTTCGTTTCTCGCGGGTGTATCGGCAGGAGCAGATTCGCAGCACCATCTGCTAACTCTGGTCAGCTTTTGAGGAGCTCTCGGCTGTGTTCCGGAGTGTCTGCAGCGCCCGCCGACCTTGTGTACGTCCTCACCTGCGCTCAGGTCACCTGAGGGTCTTTCAACGGTGCGTTTGTCCTTAGGGCGCACAGTGTGGACTGCTTCCAGCTCCCTCAAGAACGAGACCGTTCCTCTGTCTGAGCCGGTGCCCCCAGCGTGACTCACAGCAGGTTGTTTTATTTCAGTCAACGTGAGATGTATGGAGATTGTCATTTGCATTTCATTTTATAGTCACATGAGATGTTTGCATGGCTCCCAGTCAGATCTGTGAAGTAAGAGATACCCAGAGGAGTCTCTCTCCGTCTTCTTCTTCCCAAAGGTAACAGTTTTATTTATTTTTTTATTTTTTGTGATCTACCTTTCAGTTTAAAAAATACGCACAAAGATGGACACGCACATCCCCCCCCCTTCTTGGGCCGCGGGCCTCATCCAGCAAGCGGTGCCCTCCGCCTTGCCGTCCTGGCCGGCTAGCCTGGAGGCCTGTCCATCGTGATTTCTGGAGATGTGCCCTCTCTCCCTCCAGCCGTGTGGCCCCCCGTGTGGCTGAGCCAGCGTGGCCTCAGTCCCGTCCTGTTGCTGGCCTTGGGGCTGAGCCAGGCCCTGCTGTCACAGACGGTGCGAACATCTCCTCCTAATTTTGAGATGCAAGGCCCCCTTCGTCAGCCATGTCCCGAGGAGTGAGTTATTGTCACAACCCTCTGGGTGGCTTTCTTCCTCAGGGCCCCCGACCCTGCAGCATAGAGCTGATCGGTAAGCGGATGACTTTTGTTGCGAGGATGATAGGAGATCATCGGGAATTCTTCGACAGGATATGTGAATTTTTCAGCTCTTGACCTGCCCCCCTTTCTGAGTCCGGACGGTGGACGCCTGCTGTGTCTCTGGATTTCCTGCCGTGTCCATGGTGGACACGGCTCAGTTGCCTCACAGACAGCTTCCCGGGCCTCGCTCAGTGTAGCACAAACGCTGAGGCTGAGCTAAGGAAAGGAAGGGAAAGAGAAGCCCCACAGTGGCCTTGAGAGACAGGCCTGTCTTGCAGGGAAGCCTTTCCAGAAGGTGTAGAGGGTCTGAGGAGGCGAGAATGTGGCAGGTGGCAGGGTGACCCTGACAGCCCTGCGTCTGGGCCAGGACGCTGGACAGCGATGCCCCCTTCCCTGTCCCCCCCACCCCGCAGAGGGGGATCCACCAGCAGCGCTCACCGGGAGCTGACCTCATGGAGCGCGCTAAGCACTGATACAGAGGTGACTACCCCTCCCCTTCTGCAGGTGGAGAGGCTGGAGTTTGCCTCGGCTCCCAGTGCCTGGAAGGCGCGGGGGGCCTGCAGCCTCCTGGCGCCCGCTGCCCCGCTGCCACCTGACCCGCAGGTGACGGGCCGCTGGAGGAGTGAGCAGCAGGCGCGGGGCTTCACTCACGGGTTCCCGGTCCCTCGTGGGAGTCACGCAGGTGCAGCCTCACGCCTCTGTGAGCCACACAGGGGTGGCCCAGGCACACGGAGCTGTGACGGAGTGTGCGCTGGCCCCGAGGACACCTGGAGCGGATTTTCCTGGTCACGCAGAAGACAGGTGAAAGGGCAGGGCACTGAGGTCTCAGCCAGAGAAGCCCCTCAGAGTGTGGCATCTCCCCACGCCCTACATTCAGCCCCCTGCACCACAGCCCGTTCACCAGCGCTGTTGCCAGGATGATGGGACATGGCCCCCAGCAGAATCCTGGGCGGAATGTTCCAGAACCATGGGCCCTTCAGCTCTTTTCTTTTTACTGGCTTCTCTCCTACCTTTTCAGGGAAAGTTAGGAGTTTTTTAAAGGAAAAGTTAGCATTTTTTAAAGCTTGTTGTTCCTTGTCTAGACTCACCTCACTGTTCCAGAACCTTCCATGCTCTTGAAGCCTGAATAAGTCACTTGTCTGCAACATGGAAGTTCAGCCTGACTCAAATCTGTTTTTGTCCTTCCTGTGGACATCGACTACAGTATTTCCATCCTGCTGCCTTCTCTAAAAAATAACACGGGCTCTCTTTTTTCTTATTATAAACGTGGTCCTGTTCATTGTAGAAACTTTGAAAACATAAGGAAGAAAAACAGAGGGAAACAAAAATAATCCAAATCCCATCGGCAGTTTTATTTTTCTCACTAAATATTATCTTATGATCGTTTCTCTGTAAAGTTCTTGAAAAACACTATTTCCATTGAATTTTACAGTATCCGAAGGACATATCTAATTTATTTTATATTTTCCCACTTGCGTATATTTTTTCTGTGTTAAATTAGCCTTGTGGTCATGCTCTCTTATGGCTCTGCATCTGCCTCTTGGAATTTTTTTTTCATGTTTGTTTATTTATTTTGAAAGAGGGAGAGAGAGAAAGAAAGAGAGAGGGAACCCCAAGCAGGCTCCACACTGTAAGCACAGGGCCCAACGCGGGGCTCAAACTCACACTGTGAGATCCTGACCTGAGCCGAGATCAGGAGTCAGAGGCTTATCCGACTGAGCCCCCAGGAGCCCCAGTTGGATTATTTCCTGAGAATCAACTGTTAGTAGAGTCAGCACAGCAAAGGTATAAAGCCTTGGAGGGCTTAGCACTGCTTATGTCAGGTCGCCAACCAGAAATCGCCGCTGTCCCGCCTCCGCGGCGTCCAGTTTTCCCACTCTGTGTCTCTGGAACTTGCTTTTCTCTGGTGGCCGGTACTCTGCACTTCTGCCTGTTTCATGGTTCCTCTGTGCACGAGGTGACCATTCGCATCTCTTGCTTATTTTCCAATTGGGTTTTCGTGTCTTTTTTACGGACTTGAAAACATTCCTTCTGTCCGGTGCGTCTGCTGTGGATAGATTTACCCGACATGCTACTTGCCCTTTGATTTTATTTGCTGATGGCATCCATTTTGTTTTGTAATGATATTTATAAAAATTCTAGAGACAACTTTTGGTCCTCACGTTTGTTGTTTGCTTCCCCTCTGGTTGACTGTGCACCTGCTGTCGCTCCTCACCCCCCGGTCAGGGGCACTCTCCTCACGTCCTGCGGGTGTCCTGCGGTACTCTCTTCTTTCACCGTCTGCTCTGAGCCCAGTCTCCGAGGTCTGCGTTGTTCTTCCTTCTGAGACTGTCTCTAACCATCAGAGGGAGCGTGACTGTCAGGCTGGGGGCAGTCCTGACGCACAGGCAGGCTCAGGGGGGCCTCAGAGACCGTCGTTGCCTGTCCCGCCCTGCAGGGCTGCTCTGCGTCATTCAGTTCTTCAGGTGCGTTGTGAGTCCCCTCCCCTCTGCCCCCCGCCCCCCAGCCTCTCCCTCGTGCACCTGGTCGGCCTCCCTGGCTGTCATCTTGGGTACAATGATAAGAATCTGGAAGGCTGTCCTTGGCATAGGCTTCTGAGCCGCTGCTCTAAACAGACGACGTGTGCTCTGGCCAGACGCTCCTTCCCTGCAGAGGGGAATCGCTGCCACACCTCAGCTGTTTGGGGAGCGGCACTGGAGCCTGGGCTCCCCCGCACCTGCAAATGCCGTGTGGGAGTGGGTCCCGGGGAGGGGGGACCTGTCGGCTGGATGCTTCATCTTGACCTCCTCGAGTCTTGGTTTTGTCATCTGCAAAATGGACTAACAATACTCCCCGGCTCAGACGGCGTCTGGAGGAGGAGCCAAGAGGCCACGGAACATTGTTCCTTCGTGTTTGTCCACATCTTACTCATCACTGTCACTTGTCTTCGTCACTCGCTGTTGTTTGACACTGTTCCTCACCCACCGCTACTCACCGCCATGACACAGGACTGGTATTCACTGTTCCTTGCCACGTCTCTATTGCCAGTCTTGACTTTACCTCCCCATCACATCACTGGATTTCACTGTTTCCGGGTCTGATTT